TAATAAATTATAATAAAAAAAAAGAAAAATAAAATAAAAAAAATAATAATAATAATAATAATTTATATATAAATATATATATATATATATAATTATTTTTATTTTATATTTATTATATGTTTAAAAATTTATAATTTCTATTAAATTATATTATTGAATTAAAAAATAATCTATATATTTTTCAAATATTCTTTAATTTTATTTATAAATATATTTTTATTTTATATATTATTTTCAAAATTAATAATTATTTATTTTATTATTTATTAATATTTAAATTATTATTAATATTATTATTATATATTTTTATAATATTTATTTTTTATAAAATTTTTTTTTTTATTCTTTTATTAATAAATAAAATATAATTATTTATATAATTTATGATATTTAATTATATTTTTATATTTATATAAAAATTATATATAAATATTTTTATTTTATAAATAATATTTATATATATATATATATATATTAAATTTTTTCTATTTATATAAAAATCTAAAATCATTTTTTGTTTGATTATTAATAATATTTATCAATTTAGTTTTTTATATCAATTTAAAATATATATATAAATTAATAAATTTTTGTAAAGCTAAAATTATTATTAAAAGATTTTTTTGAATAGTATATATACTTCCGAATAAAAAATTATTATTATTATTATTCTTTAATACAATATTATAAAATTTATTATATAAAATTTTACAAAGATAATATAATTATAACAGCTATATTCTATATAAAATATAATAAAAGTTTAAATACAACTTAAATTAATTTTGAATATTTAATAATAAATAAAATTATGATTTTATAAAAAACTAAATTTAATATTTATTAAAACCAAAGTTCTATATAAATTCATATTTATTTTTGTAGAAATAAACTTTTGAATTTTTTTTTTTTTTTTTTAAACAAAAAAAAAAAGGAAGAAAATTTCATATTTAGAATATAATAGTAAATAGTATGTTTAAATATTAAAATATACATTATGTTTTATATATAATTAATAACATTTCTATAAAAAGACTAATTATATAAACCACAATTTTATATATAAAGATTTTAGTGCTTTTTTATAATATAAAATAATTAATAATAACATATTATAATAGTATTTATATAATTATAATTAGATAAATATTTTTTATTATATATAATTATTACAAAATTTTCTATTTAATTAAGAATTTTTTTTTCATTCAATATTATTAATTAACTAGTTTTATTTAAATATTTAATATAATTTTATGATCTATTTATTTATAATCATTTAAAAGCTTTTAATTATTATTATTTTTAATTGAGTTTATTTTTAATAGACGGTATATTTAATTGTTTTTGTCATCAAATGATTTTTATTCTTTAGACTAAAACTTTGATTTATTTTTTAATAATATATTATTCTAATTAATACCAAATATTTTAAATTAATTTATATTTTATTAATTTTTCCTTGAAATATTTTCGAAAGCATTATTTTTGTTATTTAAAGAAAAAAATAACGATTTTTCTTTGATTTTATTTTTTAAAAAGAAATTGCTTTTAAATTTATTAGTTCTTTTTTTTATATGTAAAAATTATTAAACAGACTCGAATTTCCCGAACTTTATACCCGAATCTTATTTTTTATCTAACTTATATTATAATGAGCATTTTCTAATCAAACAGTCTCTAAAATAAATATCGTTTTAGAAAACAAATATATTACTACTATCAATTTTCTATTCTAAACTAATAGAACTTTTATATTTTTTTTTTCCTAAAATCCAGTGATGTTATAAAGCCTGAAAAGCAGAAAATCTATTTTATTTTTTCAGAAGATTTCCCACAAATGAATTGGCATTTTCTGAAATTTTACATTTTTATAAAAATTAAAAATTATATAGAGAAATATTTTAATAAAACTTAGAAATATCCTCATTTTATTTATTTTTAAAAGGATGAACCCCTGTAAGTAGTTAAAAAGTAATAATTCCTAATGACCACATATCTATTTAGTGAGTATAACCTATTTTTTATAAAATCTCGGGTGCTTTATAGCTTGGAGTGCCAGAAGGAGAGTACATTCTGTCATAAAAGTATTAAAAATAGTTATTATTTTTTAGTTTTTCGTATTTTAAAAAACTTTTACTTAAGTCAAAGTCTATTATTTTTACCTTTTTTAAATCTTTCGAAATCAATATATTTTCAGGCTTTAAATCACGATGACAAACTCCTTATTTTTCTAAATAAAATAAAGCCTTTAAAAGCTTTTTTATTATCTTTAAGGCTTTTAGTTCCTCAAGGGGTCCTTTATTATCTAAATAGTATTATAAAGACGGAAAATCATGGTATTCCATTACTATATGAACTTTTTGGCTGTCTTCACAGCTGAAAAACTCGAAGGCTTTCGAGATGTATTTATGATTAAGCTTATATTAGAGGATAAAGGAATTTTTTATATTCAGTATTTATTCTTCGTCGACATTTCTTATTATTTTTACGGCATATTAGGTCGTATCTTGTTTATTTAATTTATTCTCACATTTATATAGACATCCACTAACACCATCTCCGATTAAATTTGGGTCGGTAATTTAATATTTTTCTTGAAAAGTGTAAGATTTTATAGATTTTTATAAGGACTTTTAGCTAAAAGGTTATTTTTATGTAGCTTAGGCTAGAAGATTTTTACGAAATAAGTTTGCCTTTTCGTTTTTTATATAACGAATACTATTGTTTTTTCATATAAATCTTAATTTTTTTATAGTTTAAGTAATTTTTAAGTCTCTTATAATAACATTTTAGTTTATTTTTAATATTTTTTATTTTTTTTTATTTTTATTTTTTTTTTAGAATAAAAAAATAAAATGTTTTCTGTAAGAAATGTAAATTAAATTTTAAAATAAATTTAGTATGAATATTTTGCTTTTTTTTTAAAAAAAAAGAAAATAATAATATTATTTTACTTGTTATTAAATAATATATTATAAAAATATTTGTTGAATATATTTTAAATTTAGAAAAAAATTATTAAATAAATTAATTTTTTTTTTATTAAATAAATAAAAAAAATCTTATTTGAATATATTAACATTATTATTATTATTATTATTATTAAAATATTAATATGATAAATCTATTTTTAATATATTAATAAAGAAAGTATTATTATATATTAAATTATATTAAATACTATAGTTTTTAAAATACTAAAATTTATATTGATTTATCATATTTAAAATTTAGTTTAAAAATTCAAGTATTTATTATTTTTATATTTTTAGTCATGACGCAATTTGAAATAGAATAATAATCTAATCTTTTAAAAAATTTTAAATACCTTCTATTTTATTATTATTCAAACAATTTTAGTAATTAATTTATATAATATTTATATAAATTATATTAATAGAAATTACCTCTTTATTTAAAAAAATACAAATTTTATTTTAGTTAAAAAAAATTAATATTCGTTTAGAAAATAAAAAAATAACATTTAATTAAAAATAAAATAATTTTATAATATATATGTATTCATTTATAATATAAATATTATTTAAAAAAGATTTTTTTTTATTTAATATATTCTTTTATTATTAAATCAAATATATTTAGATATATATATATATATATATATATATATATTAATTTTTATATACTATATTTAATATAATATAATAATTTCAAAAACCCCTAAAAGGGAAGTCTGGTGTGGGGGCTAATTTATTAAACTAATGTGTTTTTTATACATGTTTTTTGTTAAATAAAATTTTAATTTATTTTTAAAAAAAAAAAGTAAACTCTTATATTCAGACAGATTAATATAAAATAAATTTCTATATTAAAGATGGAGGGATTTTTAATAAATTAAACAAATAATAATGGAAATATAATATAAAAAATAATAATAAAAAAAAAATATATAGCATTTATATTATTGAGATAAAAAATGTAAAAGTTAACATATTTATAACTTATAAAATATTAATATTTATTTTTATATTAAAATCATTTAAATATATTTTTTTAATAAAATTAAATTAACTTTTTTATTCAATTTATAAATATCTTTTTTATTTTATAAACTAAAACTATAAATATATATAAATATATATATATAAATATATATATATATATATATATATATATATTATCTTTTTCTTAAAATTTTAATATGTAATATAAAATTTATTTTTCTCCTTTTTAAAAAATGTGCTTTTTTTTATTTTTTCTATTAATAAAAAAATTAAAAAAACCACATTGAAAACTTTATAATTACGATAGTTTTTTATAAAATTGGGATTAAAATAATCATTTTATTTAATAGTTTTAATTAAAATAATATAATAAGCATATTTAAGAAAGTGAAAAATATACCATATATATATATTAAAAAGTCTATATATATACGTATAAAAAATCAAAAAAATTTTGAAATTATTATATACTTTATGGATTTATAATATAATTATTACATATATAAAAATTCTTATAATTTATATATATATATATATGATAAATTATTATTTTATTTTTTTTAAATAAAGTAAATAGAAACAAATATATAGAAAATTTATATTATTAATTAATAATATATATATATATATATTTTTATATAAATATATATAATATTTTATTTTATATATTATATTATTTTTTTTATTAGATATAATAATATTAATAATAATAACTATTTAATAATAATTTTTTTTTTAGTATATATTTTATTAAATTATCATAATTATATATAATATTCGTTTATTTAATTTAAAGCTTCTAATGCCCCGCATTAAAAATCCTAAAAATGTTTACTTTCATTATAATTTGTTATTATAGGACCTTCAAATTCTCTAGGATTAACTCTTATGAACCAAATATTACTAAAAACAATATTAATTATAAAATATAATAACAATTAAATGAACCTAAATTTATAAAATAGTCTTTCACTTGTATATCTTATTGACGGAACTGCTGTTCCTGCACCCAATTCAATAAGAAATATTTTATCACTTTTTGTTTTGTTTTGTTTTTATTCGTAAATTTAAACGAATAAAAAAAAAAATACTCTTTTTTAATAGAATTAATATATTAATTATAATTAGATTCCTATTAATCCGTTCTATTAGAAATAAATGAATAATCACTAAACATTAATATATTAGGTCTTATTAAATGTCCACATTATTAGCAATTTGGTAATGGTTCTTTTGCTTAAAATGTTTAAGGGTCATATTATATAGTATAGTCTTTTTTTTTTTTTTTTTTTTTTTTTGTGGGTATATATATTTATATACTTATAGCCGAAAATATAATTTAACAATCATCACATTACATATGGTTTATAGATCCATGTATTTCGAAAATATTATCTTCTTAAAATCCTGTATATTTATAAATTTAATATGTTTTTATTAAAATTAAACCGGCTTTTTGAAAGTGACCATCTACATTTGATGTTATTGAGAAATAAGTTCTATTTTAACACCAATTTTAAAGTATTTTAAATCCTTTATGAGGATTTGTTTTTCTATATAATTGTAGTCTATGTCCATAAAATCCCCAAAATAGATCTTTTTATTTATTTTATTTTATTTTTTTAGTATTTTATTAATATATACCTGGATTTCTAAATAAAAAAGATTTATATTTTATATATTTTTTATTTACTCTCGTAAAAATTAAGGATTGGCACAATCGTAATATTAATATTTATTTCTAAATGGAATATATGTATTCCAAAAACCTTTTTTATGATTTCAGTTTAAATTCTTAAAATTATGTTTATTTACCGTTTGGACCTCTAAAATCAGGAAGACCGGAATCTACTCCCATTCCGGCTCCAGTTGTTATTATTATATGTTAAGCTTCTTTTAATTTTTAAGCTATTTTTTAAATCATTTATATTTTATTAAAACAAAAAAATATTATAATTTTATATAGAAAATATATTAATTTTATTTCAATATCTTATTAATATATGTATTTTATAGTGTTTATATTTATATTTTTTAACTAATTCTTGCTAATATTTAAGAAATAATATAATAAATTTATGTTTAATAAAATTGAATTTACGATTTCTGAAAAGAGAATTTAGAACTTAACTAAATAAATAAATATAGAATAGATATAAATTGATTTATGTATATATATATATATAAAATATAAAATATATATAAAAAATAAATATAAATATAAATATAAATATATATATTTTTAATATAATCAATTAAAATTTCACTGTTATTCTTTTAAGGAATTTGTATATATTATAAATAAGTATTCCTTAAATGTTAAATTTTTAATTTTGTTATATAAAAATAAATATTTAATTATATTTTAATTTAATATATGAATTAAAATAAAAGTTATTTTTATAAAAGGATAAATCTAAAGAAAGACATAATAAATCAAAAAAAGCAAAAAAATAAAAAAAAAAAGGGAAAAAAATAAAAATAATAATATATATAATAAAAATAAAAATATTAAAAAATAAAAAAATGGTAAATAAAATAAATAAACTATAATTAATTATTAAAAAAAATAGGGAAAATAACCTGCTGCTGGTCAAAAAAAGACTAAAGAATAAATCGCTAAAGCCGCTTAAGCTAAAAAAGGAGGAAAGAAAGTATTTTTTTTTATATAAAAAAATAAATAAATAAAAAAAAAAAAAAAGAAATGGACCAAGGGTAAGGCCAAAGATAAAGTCGTACACGCTGTATTCTTGGAAAAAAAGAGAGTCGATGAAATCGTTAATAACCCATCCAAAGTAGGAAAAGTATTAACAGTAGCTAATGTTATTGAAAAGCATAAACTTAATGGGTATTTTAAATTATAAAAAAATATATATATATATAAATATATATAAATTTTTATATATTTATATTTTTATATATATATAAATTTTTATATATATATTTTGATTAGATCTGTCGCTAGAGGTATCATTAGAATGATGGTCGAAAGAAAAACTGCAGAGTTTGTTAGCAAAAATAATAACTAATGGGTATATGCATCTGTTGGAGGAAAAGCTGCAGCTGCTGGAGGTGCAGATGAAGGATAAAAAACAACCGATGCAAAATCAAAATAAGAAGCTATTAAGTAAAAGTAATAGCAAAAATAAGATCAAAAGGATAAGGCCTAAAAATGATAAATATATTGATTATTTATTTATTTTTTTAAAAAAAAAAAAATATTAGAAAGGATATATTTTACATTTTTAATGTTTTATTTTTTTTTTTTTTTTTAAATGTATTTAAATATTTAAATAAAATTACGTTTTTTTTTTTTTTTTTTTTTAATATATAAAAAATAATTTTTTATTTTGGGCAAAAAAGTAAAAAAAAAAAAAAGAAAAAAAATATTTTTAATTTTTTGTTAAAAGTTAATTTTTTTATTTAAATTATTTTTATAATTAAATAAAAATAAAGGGTTAATGGATATAGATTTGATGAAATATAAGATTCCATTGCTATAGAAGTAGAAGGAATGGAATATTCTACTCTTGAATAAAGTAAAAAATAACCTTTATCAGATAAATAAGGATAAAGTATATTCCCTTACGAAAAAACAATAGTATATAAAGCAAAAATACTGCCATATGATCCTTTTAATTTTGATAAGGTATATGAATTCGATTAAGCCAAAATAAACTTCGAATAAATATTAAAAAATAATAAAAACTATATAATGTATAAAAGTAGAATCGAGGAAATGAAGAATGCGGAACTTTAATTAATGTTAGAATAAAAAAATACTCAAAACTAAATTCCTTCTAATAATAAATTAATTTTAAAAGAAAAAAGTTTAGTCACTATAGGAAAATAATAATGTGATATAATTCTAAAGGATAATACGATTTCTAAAAAACACGCACAAATATAAGGAATTGGCAAGTATTTTTTTATTACTGATTTAGGTAGTTCTTGTGGAACATTTTTAAGGCTAAAATAAAGCTATTTTGAACTTAAAAAAGGAACTATATTCGAATGTGGATTCAATGAGTTTTAAGTTTAAGATTTAAAAATAAATAAAGATAATGCGAATGTCGTTTTGGCAGTATATGAAGGTAATTAGGATAGACTTGGGTAATAATATGAGCTTTAAGTTAAATCGAATTACCCTTTTTTAATAGGAAGTGAAAGCAGTTGTGATTTTGGCTTTAAGGATGATTAATAATTAAATTAATATCATGCCAAACTTACTTTTAAAAATGGTATTTTGGTTATTAATGATTTAGATTCTGATAAGGGTACATGGATAAGATTGTCCGAAAAAAAAAAAAAGTGAAAAGTATTTATTATCTTTCGATTCTGAAATAAGATTGTAACCGTAAATTTTTGTAGCTAAAATTAAATAGGTTGGATAAGGGTTTATTAAAGATTATGTAACTAAGTATAATAGTAGCTGTATGAATTGCAAAAAAAAAGTAGCAAATACAATTTTTATGAGTTGTTAACATATATGTTATTGTTATGATTGCATTATAGAATATAAAATAAAATACTGTATATAATAGTATTGTGGAATAGAATCAGAAAGTAAAGAAGCTTTTTAAATTGTAAGTTGATAAATATTGATATTTAATACATATGTATATATAAAAAAATATATAAAAAAAATATATAAAATATGAAATATATATATATATATATATAAATTAATATAAATATTATATATATATATATATATTTTATAATTTTTTTTTTTTATATATATGAACAAATTTTATTTATATTTAAAAATTTATTATTTAAACATTATATTTCATTTTTTAATTAATATTAATTTTTTTATTTTTTTTATAAAATTTATTAATATTTTAATTTTATTTATATCTTTTAGAATTTAAATTTATATATATTTTATTTAAAAAAAAATTAAATGATTTAATTTTTAAAATACTTTAAATTACTATTTATATTTTACATATTTAAAAAAACGAAGCTTGAATTTATTTTTTAAATAAAATATGCTTTATAAATATTTTTTGTTATATATAAATTTTTTCTTTATTTTAATAAAAAAAGATAATATATCTTGCATTTAATTGAAAAATAAATTATAGAATTAAAAAAAAAAAAAATTAAAAATATATATATCTAATGTATAAAAAAAGGAATTTTTATTATAAAAAATATTTAATTAATATTTATAAAAAAAAAAATATTTTTTTGTAAACGAAACTATAATTTTATAAAATATATTATAGAAAAATTTGTGTAATTCAAAATTTAGAAATCAAAAATATTGAAAATTTATATGTTGTAAAAATAAAACAAAAATTTTTAGATTGTATGTCTATATAATATAATAAAAATGAAAAATATTATAATACATAAAATTAAAAATAAAATAAATATAAAATAATAAATAAATAAATAAATAAATAAATAAATAAATAAATATATAAATATATAAATATATAAATAAAAAATATTTATTCATAATTTATTATTTTCCATTTAAACATTTGTAAAATTTTAATCATCATTAGTTTTTATTTTTTTCTTACTTTCTATATTATTATTATATACATAATTTTGATCTTCGCTTAAACTATTAGAAGTTGTTTTAGATTTAATATTTTTTTATAAATATCAGTATTTTCGCATTCTACGCATTTACATAATTTCGAACAAATCACACCATTTTAATGACATACACAATATTTTTTTTGACAATGAGAATTTTTACAATTACATCCTTTAATATGTGTATTATTTAATATTACTGGTTAGAAGGCATGTTTTATTCTTTTCTTTTTTTTTGCAATTGCTCTTTATCTTTCTTCTTCGTATTAATTTGTATTATGGCATCCGTCACATTTACATTCTTATGTACAATAAATACCTGAGGAAAAACAGTCACAATATCTTTTCAAACATTTACTATTTCGGCAATTACATGGCTTAATTTATTCTTCACATGAACTTTTTTCTTCTGTTATGGAGTTTATAGTGTTTTTTATCTGTTTAAAATTTAGTTATTGACAATCTTTTTTTTTTATTATCTATTTATTTAGAGCCTTTTAATCAATAGGGTCTTGTTTTATTATATTAAAGCTAATTCAGGTATATTTATATCATTTATTAATTAATTTAGGTTAAAATCAGTTACTTTATGTTATTATTCGCTTTAATTAAAATACCTAAATATATTTTTATTTTTTAAAAAAATATATAAATAGTGTGTTTTTTTACTATTTATCACATGATTATAATATTATTGTTGGAAGTAATTTTTCCTATGTGATAGGAGTTTTAGCTTATTATGAATGAATATAAAAGTCTTATTGATTAATTTTTTTAATATTAGTATTATTATTAGTAGTATTATCATTATTATTATTATTATTATTATTATTATTATTATTATTATTATTATTATTATTATATTTATTATTTATATTTTTGAAACAGCTGTTATTATTTTTCGTATAATTATTACTAAAAAAACAATATTATTCATTTTAATATTCAAATTATTAATTTTCATTAACCCTTTTATTTTTATATATATAAATTTTGTTTTTTAAAATTTTATTTACTTTATGATGTCTATCTATGTGTTTTTTTACATTAAGTTATTAGAAGATACAGTAAATAAATTTGTATAATATGTAGATATTCTTTTAGGAGTAAATATATCTTATAGCTTATCAAAGTCTTTTATAGAGTTATAATTACTAGAATTAATATTGTTTCTGTTTAATGAATTATTGTTTTTAAAGTACATTTTTTTTTTTATTATCCTTAAAAATATATATAAAAAAAATTAAATTATATTTTTTTTTAAAAAAATAAATATTATGAGTACATATATTTATATTTATAATTTTTAATGCATATATTTTTTTTAATATATGTGTATAATAAATAAAAAGTTTTTTTTTTTAAAAAATAACAATTAAATATTTAAATCTAAATCGTAAATTAATATATGAAATTTTAAATAATTTTTTTTGTATTAAAAATAGTTATTTTAATTTAAATATTTTTACTATATATAATTAATAATAATATATATATATAAATATATATTAAAAATATTTTAATTTTATTTTAAATTTATATTATTAAAATAATTATATATATATTTTTAAAAAAGTAAATTATTAATTTTGTTTTAAATAAATATATTATTTTTAAAAAACACTATTTTTTTTATATTGATATAATATAATAATTTTAATTTATTTAATATTAATAATATTAAAATTAATTTTTTATAATATTTCTAAATAATTTACTTATAATTTATAAATTAATTTATTTATTTATAAATAAAAAATGTAAACTTCAATTTAATTTTTTTAGTAATAATAAAGAAAAAAAGCTGATAGTATGATATTAAGGTTGCCTTAAATTTTAATAAAAAGTATTAACTAGTTAAAGCTTAAATACCAAATAAAATGATAAATATATTAACACTTATGAATTTAATAGATAAGAAAATAAAGAATTATTTAAAAGTATATTTCATAAATCAAATAACATTGCTATAAATTAAATATAAAAAGAAATTATAAATAAAACAAAAAATTAAATAATATAATAAGTTTAATTGATAATACATTAAATGAAAGTACATATAATAAAATAGTATTAAATAATATTGATTAAAAAATATAATAAATAAATAATAACTTAGAAGTATTATTATATATATATATCATTAATAAATTTAAATAAAATATAAGGGCTAAAATAAAAAAATATAAAATTAAAATGAAATGGATTAAATAATGTTTTCAAAAAAGAAAAAATTAGATTATAAAATAATTTGATAATAATGTAAAAAATATGTTTACAAGTAAAAATATGGGAATGAAATATTACAAAGAAAAAATATTAAAAAATAAGATTAAATATAATGAAAATATATATATAAAAACTTTATAGAATATAATTTATAAATATATTATTAGAAAAAAAATATATATTAATAAAAAATTAAATATGAAATATAAAATATATAAAAATAGATATATGTATATATATATATATATATATATATATATATATATATATATATAAATATATAATTTTTTATTTTTGTATATTAATTATATAATTATATTTGTATATTTATATATCAATATATTTATATCAATGAATTATACTAGTTTCATCAGATTTTTTATACGAAAACATTATTTTTTTATTTTGTAATTTTTCTTTCCTTTATTCTATAGCTCTTTAATTTATTTTTTCTAGATATTAACAAAATGAAATTTACTTTTCTTGTCCATCATTAGTTTTCTCATCTTCTCTATTTTAAAAATAAAATATTTAAAAGATATAAAATATGAAAACATAAAAATATAATAAATTAAAATATTTGTATATATTAAAATTTATGATTTATTATATTTAATTATATATTTATTATTAAATATTTATATATTTATTTATTTATATATTTTTATTATATTTATTATTTTTTAATTTATTTATAACCCAAATATAGCTTTTATTTCCTCATCCAATTTATTTCTTCCCATTCTTACATATAATAATTCCAATGTATCTTCTACTGTTACAGTAAATTTATTTTCTTCTGTTTTACAATACATTAGAAATTATGCCATATGAAATAAACTTTTTGGTTCTAAGTCAGAATTTTTCATTATACATCTTTTATACATATTTATAAATTCTTTATAATCTATTTTTTTATCTAGATTTGAATCTACTTCCCTATAATATATATATATATATTTACATATATTACTATTATATTAATTTTTTATTTGTTATTTTTTTATTTTATAAAAATAATTCATTTTTTATTATAATTTTTTTTTTCTTGTATTTTCTAAAAATATTACAGAATATTGTAAAAAATATACTTTAAAATAATTACATATTTAACTTTATTTATCATATTTATAAAAACTGTCCATTATATATATTTTTGTTTTGTTTTTTTATATATTAAGTTGTAATAATAAAATAAATACTAAAAAAAATGATAAAATAATATATATTTAATACCATAACATTAAATCAATTTCTGATTTTGTTAAATTCATATGCATTTTAGCTAAGACAGTTTCTATTTCTCTAGATGTAAAATATTGTTTATTTATTTCATTTTATTTATGTTATTTTTAAGCTTCTTCTGTACTTTAATTTTATATTAATAACGAATTATTTGTTTTGTCCATTTTCTTTTCATTTGTTAATCTTTCTTCATAAAATAATTTAAATACACGATCTAATGCTTTATATTCGGTTGGTTATAATTAATATTCTTCCACTTTTTCTTCTATAGACTTTATTTTATCTTCTTTAAATTATTTTAATTCGTCTTAATCTAATGCGATTCTAGGCTTATTTCTTTATTCATTAGCAAATAATGGATGATCTTTATATTTTTGTCTTAATGTAGGTGGTAAATCTTTTAATTTTAGAGGCTTTTTATCCGGTTTTTTATTATTTTATTCCATTTATTTTTTTATATATATTAATCTTAATATATTTAATTTATTTTAATATAATAAAAAAAAGACCTTTTATTATTAGTTTCATTTTTATATTGATATATGTGAAATATATATATATATAAAATAAAAAATCAAGCATAATATTCCAATTTTTGTTTTTCTTAGCTTCAACAGCTGCAATGCCATCAATATAATCTTCATGTGTTAAAAATGCTGCCCCCTTCTTAAAGCACACATACCTGCTTCTACACAGACTGCTTTTACTTAAGCACAATTAAATCCTTCAGTACTTCTTGCCAATTCTGAGAAAATAATATCTTTAGTTTTCATTTTTCTTGAATGAATCTTCAAGACTTACCCTCTAGCTTCTTCATTAGGTAATGGGAACTCTATTTTTCTATCTAACCTTCCGCTTCTTAATAAAGCAGGATCTAAAATATCAGGTCTATTAGTAGCAGCAATAACTTTAATGCTGTCATCTTAAGTAAAACCATCTAATTGATTCAATAACTCAAGCATAGTTCTTTGAACTTCACGATCTCCGCTTTTATCACTATCAAATCTAAAAGCAAATATAAGCATATATATATATATATATATATATATATATATATATATATATATATATATATATATATATATATATATAATATATAAATACCTTTTAGTACCAATAGCATCTAATTCATCAATAAAAATTATTGTAGGCTTTTTTTCTTTAGCTAATGCAAAAGCATCTCTTATCATTTTAGCTCCATCTCCTATGAACATTTATACTAGCTAAGGTCCTGCTAATTTCAAAAAAGTAGCATTTGTATCAGCAGCACAAGCCCTAGCCATCATAGTCTTTCCAGTACCTGGAGGTCCATACATGAGTACACCTTTAGGTGGTCTAATACCTATGGAGTCAAATTTATCTTTATGTGTAATAGGTAAGACTATGGCTTCACGAAGTTCTTAAATTTATTTGTCTAAACCACCTACATCTGTGTATTATTCAGTTGGTCTTTCATCTATTTCCATTGCTTTAACACGATTGTCGTATTCAGCAGGAAGCTTTTCTAAGACGAGGTATGAATCTTTATTTACGCCAACTAATTCACCAGGTTTAAGGTCTTCAGCGTCTACTAGACCGATTACTGGAAGGAATACAGTATGTTTAGTGGATGTTTTTATTACTACGGCTTTTCCTTTACGGGTAGAATTGATATCTAAGGCAGCAGTATCTTAGTCTTCGCCTTCTTCGGGTTCAATATCGAGGATTTCTACGACATTAGAAATTAAATAAGGCATTTGTTTGTTTAATTTAATTTTTTCTTGGTTATCTTTAATTTGCTTTTTGGATTTTGTAATATCACTTTTTAAACGATTTTCTTAGTTTCTCATTACACGGATATTCTCGTCGAATATCTTTATTCTATTTCGAATTTCTTCGTCATTTAAGCCTTCGATATCTTTTAACCATTATTCGGTTGGATCTTCAATTTCCATTTATTATGAAATGGGATCTTTGGTAGTCATTATTTAAAATATATTAAATTTTTATTTATAAATATATATATAAAAATTATATATAAAAATTTATATGTAATTATAAATAAAATAATATATATATATATAAAATATGTATATATATATATAAATTTATATATATATATATATATATATATATATATATATATATATATATGTTTTTTTTTTTTTCGAGATCAGATATTTTTTTAATATATTTTTTATTAATTATTATTTATTATATTTATATAATTAATTTGTTTATTTTTTAAAAATTGAAAATACTTTGTATAATAAAATATTAACTGTGTTATATTTATTTTTCTACAATTTTTTTATTAAGTTAAAAATAAAATATTTATTTGTATTATATTTTTTATAATAATAATATTATTTATATGTAAATATTGCATTTTATTAATATTTCATTTTTCATTTTTGATTTTTGATTTTTCATTTAATATAATGATTTTATTAAAAATAAAAAATATTAATATCATTATCATTATAATATTGTTTTACATAATAGTCTTTTCAACATTATAAAATTTTAATATTATTCAATATAACATATATATTATAATAATCAAAAAAAAATATAAAAAATTGTTAATACATTTCTTGTATATAAAGTTTAAAATATTAATTTGTTTTATTTATTTTTGTTTACAATCTTTAAATTTTTATTTTAATGTATAATTTATATTTAAATATTTGATAACTTAAACAATTATTAATTAAAAAAAGATAATTTTTAATATATATATATATATATATATATATATATATATATATATATATATATATATATATATATATATTATTATTATTATATTTATTATAAAATATTTTATTTTTAAAAAATTATTCTAGACATATCATATAAATATATTTAATTATATGATATAATTAATAGTGTTTTTGTATATTTTTCGGTATATATACATATAATAAATATATAATCTGATAAAAAATAATGAAAACAATATTATATTCTTTTATTAAACATTACGTTTCTTATTTAATAAAGTAATTATTTTATTATATATTGTTTTTATGATAAATACTAGAAAAATAGTTATATTTATAGAATTATTATTATTATAAATATATATTTCTATTAGATCTATAAATTAATATTAAAAGATATTTAATTTCTTATAGATTTAATTATATATTTAATTATTAAATATTTATTTTCTTTAATCTCTTATAAAATTTATTTAATATTATTATGATTATTTTTAAGTCACAAAGTTAATATTTTATACTAACCCTGAAGTTTAATATATGTATTTTATATATAAAAACATAAAACCCAAAAAATTAATAGTAATACATGCTTATGTAATTCATAAATAATCTATATTTTGTAATCTAATATGATAATAAAGTCCATATTTTGACATATTTATATTATCACGGAAAAAAATACAATTTATAATATCTTTTATTATGTATTTTGTATAATTATACAAATAGACAATTTATATAATTTTTAAATTATTTTTTTTTAAAATAAAATAAAATGATTTCTAATAAAAAAATAAAATAAAATTATTTATTCAACTTTTTTAATTAAATATTATTCGTATTTTTAATTTATTTGATTAAAATAGAATAATCATATTTATTTTATATACTAAATGGATAAATCAATTAAATATATATATAAAGTTAAGTTATAATTAAACTTTAAAAAATAATAAAAAATTAAAATGATTTTAGTTTGGAAATAATAATAGTTATATTTTTATATAAGTAAAAGATGAGATATAATTTAAAATTATTTTATAATAAATATATATTAATAAGAAATATGAAAAAAATAATATAAAATAAAAAAAATATATATAAATATATATATATATAATACTATTATCAACAATAAATAATATAATATAATAATTTTTTATAAATCTATCATTTAATAATTATATATATTATTATTTATTTAACTAAAATTTTTATAATTTTTATTATATTTCTCTAATTTATTATTTATAAAAAAAAATATATATATATATTTATATATATATATATATATATATATTTATATATATATATGTATATATATATATATATTATTTTATTATCAAGGTTTAGTATTTTTAACTTCATCTTTTTATATATTATCCTATTTAGTTTAATTATTTAATTTATCTAATATATCTATTGTATCTAATGGATTTTCTATTATTTTTCTTTTTTTACATTATTTAAATGGACAAGGTTTACACAATCCACATAGACAAGGTACCCTTCCTTTTCCATATAAGTCTATTATTTTATTTTCAGTTTCCTTATATTCATCTATGCTATATTATTTTAAAGCTCCTGCAAAGACTGCTATTTCATTTAAAGAAAGTTAATTTTTTTTAATATAACAAGCAAAAATAAACATCCTTTTTTTTTATATATATATATATATATACATATTTTTATTAAAAAAAAAAGGAAATACCTATCTCCTATTTAAGGGGCATCTATACCACAAGCAGCTGAACTTCTAAAATCAGATACATATACATATTGGTATTTAAGACATGATTTATAGTATTTTATTACTAAAAATTTGACAGTAGTAGTATAAGTAGATTGATCTTATATTATTTATTCGGCTATTCCATCTATTATTATACCAGACTTATCTATTTATTCATCAATTGAGGCAAATGGGTAATTTGGGGTAGTTTTACATTATTAAGTTTACTATATAGATAATATTAAGTAGAATATATTAATTATTATCATTTTTTTTTTTTTTGTAATATTTATATATATTATAATATATTTTATATTATATATTTTTATGATTTTTAGATAGAAATGTGAAAAAACGGTTTTATATAACTATAATATATATGTTTTATATATAATTATTTTTTATAAAATTTTTTTGTTTCTTTAAATTTTTTTTTTTTATAAATAAAAAAAGTTTTTTTAAAAATAATTATTATTTTAGAAACAAAAATTATGAAAAAGTTATATATATATATATATATTTATTTGGCCTTTATATTTACTTATTTATCTATTATATTAATAATTCCATCTTTATGAGTATTAATTTTAATAATAAATATAAAAAAGTGAAATAATAATATAAAGAATAATCAAAATAAATAGTATTTAAAGCTAGTACTCATAAAATACTTGCAAAATCAAATATTTTTTATTCTAAATACATTAAATTATGTACTTAAATTTAATATATATATATATATATATGAATATAATTTATTTATATTCTTTTATAAAAATTTAAATAATTAGTTTTATTTTATTAAAAAAAAATATTAAAATAAAATAGAGATTATTTCATTTTTTTAAAATAAAAATTATATATTATAATTATTTTATTTTTATTTTTAGAAAAAAATTAAAAATAAAAAAAATATTAGGAAAACTAAACTATAAATATAGGTTAAAATAAAAAAAAACTAATATACTATAGATATTTGATTATACATAGGATTGTGGAGTATATTTAGTTAAAATTTGGTTAACAAAACGGTCTTTTTTTAAAGACTTTTGGATAACTTTCGTACAAAAGTTATAATTATGTATATCGTTTCTATTAATTATACTTAATAATGATATTTTTTACATATAATATAATTATTAATGCTATTTATTCCTTTTTAATATAACCTATAGTGATATTTTATGAAAAAAATGATTAAGGTTACTAGATTTTAAGAATATAATATATATATTTTATTAATTATAAAAAAAAAAGGTATTAAATAATTTTGGATATATATTAAAATTTTATATATATTGATTTTAAAAAGAAATTAGAAATTTTTTTATTATAAATTTAATATTTATTTAAATCTATGTATTATAATATGTTTTTAATTAAAAATAATGAATTATTGTATAAAATATAAGAATATAATAATAGATAATATATAATTTTATAATTAAAGGGATGTATTATTTTATTATAATATTAAATTGTCAAACTTAAATAAAATTTAATTAGCATTATATATAAAATAATATTAGCATAAATAAATATAAAGTATATTTGTAAAAATTATTAAATAAAATTATAAAATATATTATAAGAATAAGTATATTAAAAAAATGATATAAAAAAGATAAATATAAAAATATTAATTTTATTGTATAAGCACATTAATATACTATTAATGTTTAAAAATAAAATTAATATATCGAATATATAAATATATATATATAAATACAAATTTGTGTTTGTATTTATAAATATAAATATATATATATATATATATTTATATAT